GGGGGCTACAGCGGCGTTCAGGGGCTCCAGGGGCTCTGGGAGCTTCAGGGGCTCCAGGGGCTCCGGGAGCTTCAGGGGCTCCGGGGGCTCTGGGAGCTTCAGGGGCTCCGGGGGCTCTGGGAGCTTCAGAGGCTCGGGGACGGCTCGCCAGGCGCGGTTCTGGTCCATTCCTCCCTCCACTCAGGGAGGCGGCTCCGTCGTGACGTTCTTCGCATATGGCCCCTTCGCTGGATCTATTCGGCCCAATCCCGTCGATCAGGTTCAATGCGATCTGCAAGGAGTGGAAGGTGGGCTCCGAATCATCACCTCCACAATTTTCAAACTGCTCCGTCATTTCCAGCAGCCTTCTCGTACACTTCGTTCCCGAGAATTCACGAAGATTTTCTCCAAATATTTCACCCGCTTCCGCGGAGAGGTCAACACGGTCAGCAAGGTCAACAAGAGGGCGGGCGCTATGAATTTGATGCGCCTCATCAGGAGATGAAAATCGTACAATCTGATTGGGGGTCAATCTGACGCAGGGTGGCGATTGTCGATTCGGAATCGCTTCGAAAATCGAGGTTTGAGGATTTGCTATCTATTTAAAATGATGCGGCGAGATGACAGCAAAGTGATCCTATCAGGCAGGATAGCCCGTTGAGTTAGAAGGTGAGTTCGGGACCCCTGACGCCGTATCTTCGACGGCGACTCTCCCTCGGTGAGTATCTTGAGCTTTAAGGTCGAAACTGAATGCTCCGTCTGTAAACCTCTTGATTGTAAGGCACTGAGATTTCATCGAGGCGGATCTGTATGACGATACTGGCAGAGCGCTCAGGGTCCACGGATTGGATAGAAGGAGAGTGAGAGAGAAGGTCAATTCCACGTCCCAGTCCAAGATTTCACGACTATGTTTTCCACGGCAACAACGAAATATCAATGAGTGAGCTGTGATTCGCCTCCTCGTCGCCGCGCTCGAAACGGAACCGAGAGACTATGATGATGATGACGTCGCGCTGAGCTCATTGAATAACTCTCGCAATTGGGGTCCTCCAACCAAAAGCTCGCACAGCCTCTAAGAGACGCCGCCAGACCAGCGGGCGGATAATCGGGGAACGATAAATGGAGGAGCGATATTCGGGGGAACGATAATCGGGGACGTCGCGGATTACCTGATGACCCAGCATCGAAAATCAGGAAAATTATAGTGAGCATCGGACGAAGGGCTCACTGAACCCTAGATGATTATCCCTGGTAGAATAGCGGGACTTGCAATGAGTGATGCACGACACGCGAATGGTCCGTCTGATTACATTTCTAATTTTAATAGAGAGCTCCCGCAGGCCAAAGCTACGCTTCTTCCCTAATGTTTCTTGCCATCCATCGTGGTATCCAGGAATAAGCCATCACGATACGAGCAGTATAAGTGAGGATAACGGCATGTCGCTAGAGCTCCGATGCCGTTGCGACCTCGAGTTATCGATACCTCTAAGCAGCAGCGCGGTCCTCTTAAACCTGCGAGGAGCGATCAAGATTGTCGGGAAGTTGTCCTGAAGTCGGCTAGAAATCCGATCGATTGCCACGAAGAATGGAAGCTATCGGACCTGTAGGGCTGCCTGCGTGAGACTGATGATCTTGTTAAGTCTATTGAGACACTCGGACGGGTCGAAGGTGCCGCATAAGTCGACATCGTCGAATTCGTCGGCATGGGTTGCGCTCTCGGGTAGAGCTTCGCAGAAATACGGGCAAAGTACGCGCTCCCATATCAAATAATGAAGTTCCTTAGCGAGTAATATCCGAAGCTTTTCCTCGGCCCCCTGACAGAAGAAAGAATGGGTCTGTCCTCGTCGTGGTGAAGTTCCACAATATCGTGAGAAGGCTCATAAGGAAACGAAAGACTACTCGAGATATGGTTCGCGAGATATTTTCCAACAATTACCGCGAAGTCGAGCTTCTCTCTGATATGGCCGGGAAGAAGGTCTTTCTCGATTTGCACCATCCTCCATCTCATAGCGAGTTCTTTTCTGAAGCACCGGATATCTTTCAGAGACGTTTCTAGAGGTTTAGTTGCCTCGAGCAGACCCTCCAGGGAGTTCTTGAAATGATCTGGGTCCGCTTCGTGAAAATTCTTTGCGATATGGTGTAACATGGTTTTGTTCTCCGAATTCGAAGCGAAGGAGGTGATCTCCGCGAAGTCCTCGATATGAAATCCCACCGCGAACCTCTGATCGTGCTGAGAATCGGATGGTAGGGTTCTCACGAGAATATCTCGAGGTGAGCCCGCTGAATGAGAAAGACTTCAGACAGGTACAAGCTTGACTTACGTAATTCAGGAAATTTACGAATGTCAGTACGGTGAAGAGATATCTCCTCAGAAACTTGTTCTCCACCAGGTACTTGCAGCTCTTCACAAACTTATCTATAGCTGTTTGTAAACGAGTGCATTCCGCCTCGAAGAAATTGATCAACATCAGAGCCCGTATGAAAGCTGAGCAGCCTTCGATTCTCCACAGCTCCACTATGACGCGATCTTCGGCGAAGAATTGTTGGGGCGCGAAATTCAATCTTTTCAGTACTTCGGTCTGAAAACCAATGAATCCAGAGAAGCGACAACAGGAAACTCGAGGAAGCGACACCATCGTACTCGGTGTGTCGATCATTTTCATCTCGAGCAATTCCGATCCGGGAACGGGGAGTTCCCGATGAGAGCGGAGCGAAGACGGTGGAGGGGAATCGATAGTTCTGAACGACGTCGGGGAAGGATTGAATGGATAATCGTCGGCAGACATACCTCGCTAGCTGTCGGTAGGAGGTATTCCATGTGCTCGAGGTTCCGCATGAGTTTCTCTTCAGCGGACCAGGATGGACTCTGAAAATCATGGCACAGTCTGCTGTCTTACCCTGCTTAATTGAAATGCAAATTCAAATCGTCAGGGACCGCGACCCTCTGCTGAGCGAAACCGCGAATATTCCACACGTGAGAGGAACCCCGCAATCACGGCGGGTCTGCTCGAGGGTATCACTCTATTTCCGAAAGCTGAGAGTCAATCTGCGGTGATTTCTATCGGTCGCGGCTGCCAGCGTTGTGGGGGATTGAAAATGATGAAATATCGGAGCTGATACCCGAGGGGCAGTTCCAAGGGATAACCGTCGAGCACGGAACTCATCATTACCCCGTGTTCACGTAGAAATGGCGGAACCTCGAATTTTCTGAGGTGACTGAGAAGCGGCTCGTCGTACTGCACGTTCCCGTCAGCATCTGGGTTGATGTCGAATTCCAGGTATCTGAATGTGGCTCTTATCCCGAGATCCCTTTGAAAATCGTCTAGAGAAACTTCCTTTCGGGGGGTCTGTGGGGATAAAGGAACGGGGATTACGGCTTAATAGGAAGCCCCATGAACGACGAACTCAGATTTTCATCCGGATATCTGTGGCTCCATGTATGATCCAATCATGCCGTCTCGCGGAAGTCGAGCGACCGAGTCTTACCACTGGGTCCAGCCGCTTGAATAAATGAGCAACTCTGTTCAAGTCGATCCTGCTCAGCACCGTCGACAACTCAATCGACTCGTAGCAGCTGCGCCACGCATTATTACCGGCTGTGGAGACAAACACGAGATCATCAACGAGATTCGGGAGATTTTGCTCTCCAGTGAGCTTCCGACGCATGTCCGAGAGAGTCGGAATGCGGTCAAGTCCTTGTCGCGACACGCGCCGGAGCTGATTTGCTGATGAAGTAACTCTCGCAGGAAGTTACTTACTAGCAGCGATGGTCAAAGGTATCCCTGGATGTAAGCCAGTCTCGCAAGGGAATGGTCTCTGTGGGAGTCCTTTGAAAAAATTATAAACCAGCTCGATGCTTTCCTGATCCGGTGGACGCAACGTGGGCAACATATCGACCGATTTGTAGAGCTCGAGCAAGCATTGGTACGATCCGACCGGCTTGAGCCGTTCGTGAGGGGCGGATGATGCGTCTTCGTTCCCGGCAGGTGACGGATCCGCAGCCGCTTGAGGACTTGCGGATTCCGCTGCAGGACGCGGTGGATCCTCGATGCCTTGTGGTGGAGCAGGCGCATTCTCGTCGCTGCGTACCTCCTGACCCGGAGTTCGATCCTTTCGCCGTCGTGGTGGAACGGGCGGAGGCTGATTCAAGGATCGACGAGGCGGGGGAACCGGAGGGAGACTCTTCGTTGTCCGCGGCCGCACTTCCGGTGCTTTCTTGACAGATCCACGAGGCGGTGGGACCGGAGGAACGCTACTTGGTCCAGCTCCCCTCAAGATAATCGCCATGCGTTCTCTGAGGGTGCCCTGGGTAGATCCGCATCGGAACCGTGACTCGAAACGGGACGTAGATTTCGCTATCGCGCGAACTTCATCCTGCATCATCGTTTGATTTATTGCTAACCCGCCCTCGACCGTCGGCTCACCTTGGGAGTGCAAGCCCTGTGATCGAAAGTAGTCCTGGTGCAGAATGCCAAGGGCGTCATGAAATTTGTCGAGCTTAAGCAACTTCGTCATTTTGGGATCTTGACCCGGAGTAGTTCTCCCCAAGACTTTCGCTGCTAGCTGTAAGTAGGTGCCGTCCAAATTGGGATGTAGATCCAAATTTTGCCTCAATGACAAAAAAGTTCCCAGCGAAGCCTGAACTCAGAACCTCGTCCGTGAAGACGAGTGATTCAAGGCTCAACGGAGGCATGCGTGCCACCGACTCAGAGTACTTTCAGAGATTCCATGGGCTCCTCCGAACATTGTGGATTTTCGACCCCATCTCCCGTCTCGGGCGAATAGCGCGGCTCAATCGAGGGATTATGGTATTTTTCTAGTCATGCCTTGTGTCTCAGGGTATCCATTATTACGATTACAAGAATACTAACTCTGATTGTCCTCATTGAACATTCTCGAGCGAGGCATCTCTGGAGAGGAAATATGGGACCCATGAACAAACATCCGCTCGCCTCCGAAGAGTACCTGTCTGCCCGAAGAATTGTGACCAACTCCGCGCTTGAAAATGCCGGGGAATCGCACAATCATGGATACTGGGCAGATGAATATTGACCTCTGATAGGATGCCTAGCTTCCGATTGAGGGATTGAGCTCGAGCGCATTCACTCGCATTCGTCGGTCGCAATCGCCGGACCTCGCATCCAATAGCTTGCTCGCTGATCGGGTCGCTCTCATGAGGATGGTCGGCTACCGTAGTCTTCGCGGAGCAAAATCTCCGCAATCGGTCCTTAAGTTCGCAAGACGACACTCCGACGTCAGGGGAAACCAGGCTTAGGGCAAGCCTGTGACGGGAATTTCGTTCATTTTCCTTTTTTTCACTTTCCTTTCTCTCTCCCGCGGAGAGGGGCGAGATATTTTGTTTTCTCAATTTAGTGACTCCCTACTTCCTTGGAGTGATATCGATATGTTGCCGTGGATGATTCGGAGAACATTGGAATCCCTCAATGAGGTGCTTCGCATCGCAGGGTAAAGATTCGTAAATACTAGGTACTCTAAACCGATTGCCTGGGGGCATGGATACTTTCCGGGCTTCCCGTGATCTATAGAGACATCCGATTCAGGATGGACACCGACAAACGGAGCTTCTAGAGACTCATCGAGCTAACAAACACCAGTATTTATTCATTAATTCAACAACCACAACAATAGGCACACCTCGGACCGATTAGTACTGCGGAAATAATTTATCGCTGTCTTCTCCGGATGAACATAAGAAATAGAGTGAGTCTTTACTTTGACCTGTCTCGACTCGGGCAAAATCTCCGCCATCAGCATCATGTACTTGAATGGCGAGAACCCGCAGTCGAATATTTCCGGATCAGTCAGATGGGTGGTTACGCGAGCTTTTCGCCCGCAGAGGCAGGTCAGATCATGTGTTAGACAAAACCAAGTCTCCTGAGAAGGACTATTGTCCCGTCTCCTCCCGGGTACGGCAAGAATCTGACCGTTGCCGTTCGAAACGATCAGTTTCTGCTTATTTCGGTTGGCTCTTGCACGATCGTGAGATAATTCTCTGGAACCAGTCCCTGTTGCTGTCCGATGCGAGCTTCGAACCAATTGTGATCGATTCGTCGAATTAGTCTCAACTTATCCCCGACCTGGAGGGGAAGGACAGAGGTCAGATTCAATCGTGAAATTTCATTCATGAACGCAGACGGGGAGTCACCCACTCACCTTGAATCCTAGTTCTGCGGGGCTTTTCGCGAAGAAGGGGAAGCGTCCTGTAGCCACTCCTTCTTGGATTCGGACGCTGGCCAAAGTATCGATGGACGATGGGGGGAAAGCGTCGACATATCTGTGTGATGGACTTCTCTTAGGATCCTCCAATCATGAGTGATGATAACACAGAAAGGTGCAGAACTGAGAGATATGAAGAGGGGGAAAGGTTTCATCATAGCTCACCTGACTGGGAAAATTCCGGTCTTGCCTAGGCACTCCCCCTCATACCAGTTGCGATCAATTTTCTTGAAAATGTACACCAAGTCGCCCTTCTTCAGGTTGAGCTCCCTGAAAGCATTGGTTTGAGAGAGTTCTGAGCGTTTTGGACAGAAATTCCCACCGGGACCGAATGAAATACGCCCCCTTTGCCTCACGCAGAGTAGAATCTACAGGACGAATTTACAAAGACCACTTCTGCGACACCGTGGTCCAGATTCCGGGTCCTGACACACCATTGCACGACCGCGTGCCCGCAGGTCGCTCACGAGGATAAAATCCTTGATTCATATGAAGGAATTCGCGCTCCCGATCATGAATCTTCACCATGTTTCTGTTGATAGTCACCTGCTAGCATGTGCGATGAAATCGTAGATAACTCTCCCGAGCATGATAACCTCCTTGTTATCAGGAGTATAAAAGACCGTTTCGTAGACGGAACCAGTTTCCCCACGCTGTCCCGTTACGAATTCGTCCAGCCCTGTTGAGAATCCCGCGTCCTGCTGGCGGCGTATGTGGTGATCGACCTCGTCGTACAGGCGTCGCAGTGCGCGATCCTGGCCAGAATCCTGCGCCGATCTCAGCTGGGCCATCGCTTTCAGATCCTCGTAGTCTCGCTCCAACGACATGCTCGGCTCGTCGATGTATGCTGATGAGCAAGAGGGACATCATTCGAAACATGTTCCCCCATATAAACACGAACTTCCATAATCAGCCATTGCGGAGGCTCACCGGCTGTTTCGTCGGCCGCTGTAGTTTGCTGCTTCTGCACGGCCGGGCAGGGACCCACGATGGGATCTGAATTTTGGAATAGCAGAATCTTAATTCGTATCGATTCCTAACGCTCGCCAAAGGCGGACCCATGGATCGTACAGCCAGGCGTCATCGAGATGAGTCGAGGAGTGCCGCACGAGGCTGAGCAATGATCCCTCAACCTTCCAGCCGGTTGGAAGTTTTGCCGAATTACCTTTCGGTGGTGACACGACGGCTCTCCGAAAACCGCCTAGGGGGATGTCAGATCCTTTCTGTACGTTGCGGTACCACTCTCGCTGAACTGTCCTTGATGGAGTGTACTGCTTCTGATTCTCCCGAGCGATCCTCACCATGCGATAGCTGTCATCTTCGTTGAAAACGCTGAGGAGAGGAACACTAATTAACGTTATATTTTAAGGATCCCTCCCTAGATGAGCTCGCCGCCGCCGCCGCTCTCCCTCGAAACGGAAATCTGGTATACAGTATCCATCGTGCTCGCATACTCTCGGATGCTTTACAGTGACGTCAGCTCGAGTATCGATCGGAATTGTCCGTATAGCCATGGATTGAACAGGGACAGTCCGAACTCCGCGAGAAGGCGGCTGCGGCGACCCTCCCCAGACGCTACGCCAGGAACGAACTTATTCGGAATAATTCTCAACATGAGCAATGTGCTACGTGACAGCTGCTGCTGGAGGCGGAATTGCGAACAAAAATCCTCGTCATCGGCGAAAATCGACGCCTCTGGGGGAACCAATCGCTTCCTGGTGTAATTAGTCTTGCATCCTCGAGCTAAGACCACTCACTAGTTTGGCTTTGGCGAAATTTGAGGAGACTTGTCAGATCTGGGGTTCGAAGCATGGTATTTCTTATCGCCCTGCACGAATGCGTTTTTCGAGGCGACGACACTAGGTGTTGATGCGACCGAGTCCGCCGGAGTGTAATCTTCGATTCGCTTGGGAGATACCCTGGATAGAGGCATCATGGATTGACCGGAGTATCTCTAATGAACGAACAGATAATTCAGAGGAGCGTATCTTCCGACTGCAATGTCTCACCTGTAGACAGAATAGGGCTTTTTCGATTGGAGATCGTCTTCTTGAGGATGCTCGTAAGGCCACCTCTTCTCACAGAATTGCCGTCGTTCTTCCGATGAATGTTCGGGTTCCGAAATGTACCCGTCGTCTCTGAAATCGCGGACGAACTCTCAATCCAGCGTCCAGTATCCTCCGGAATTCCTCAAGAAACCTTTTGAGCGTTTAATGTGTAGCCTTATACCATCATGGCGACAAAGGTGCGATGAAAGGACGCACCTGTAATGCGCGAGACCTCGCTTGACTCGTACGGTGATTATTTCTTGATCACTCTTCGGCTTGTGGTAAGCGTGTAATCTTTTGTACATAGTGCGATACCAATCGCCAGCGTGTTCATCGTCGACATTCTGGAATGGGAAAATAGAAGTTCAGACGGTCGTGGAGAGTTCATTGATCGGCTATAATCTTGCAAGCACACATAAGCGGGAGCTTCTTACTCCACGAGCCGCGATTGGAACACCGTTTTCAGTGGGGCCAACTCCTTGGATCTTGGGTGCTTGACCTCTATGAATGATCTTCCTCTTCGTCGTCGTGAGGAGGAACGGTGACGCACACTCACTCTCGGCGGCTCCGAGAGGACTTTCTGCGCTAGACGGGGCAGCAGGTTCTTGATGGTGATGTGGACCTGCAATGAATTCCTCGACGTCGGATCAATGCTCTACAGAGGAAGGGAAAAGATCGCGAAGAGCTAGCTCGACTAAAAATGAAGTGCTCCATCGATAGTTCTTCTGTGTTGGGCCAAGACGCCGACCAAAAACTCGCCTCACAAAGTGATACGAGCCTAAATCCCTCGAAGCACAGAAACTAAGCTAACGAAGTCCCGCGATCATCCATTCCCATCTCGGCCTTGAGATCGCTGTTGAACTCCCGAGGAACATAGCTCGACACGTTAAGTCGTTTCTGTTTTCCGTACTGCCGATTTCGACAGGGATAAGCATAGTTCCGAAGTGCAAGGCTCCCCTAGTGAGTCAGCCGCCAATGTGACGCGAGCTTCTGTGTCACGGGTCAAGGCTCATCATTGCGGCTACTCGGAGACGTCGAGACCTCCTGGGAATCTCGCGTCTTGGTGCGATCGGGCACCTGTCCCCTACCAGTAGATGCGTCATCAGGGACATTCTTCCTCCCTCCTCTTATATGGGAACGACCAGATCCCGGCACATTCCATGGAGCCCGTCTCAAGCAATCCAATCACGCGTGTCTTGATTAGGTCTACCTCACGACTTAAGGAACCCGTCAGTCTCCGAACTTCGGAATCGCATGACGCTCCGCGCCAGGGAGGGTCCCTCAATGGGGGGATAAAGGTTCCTCTAAGCATGTGTATGCTGACTCTCAACACCAATCAACTGTCAGATTGTCATCGTCATCATGGCCTCGATAGATTCGCTCGTCGCGAATTGAATGAAGTAGAAATACGAAAACACACACAAGGAACGGAACGAAAAGATGGGAGAAGCGCGAACTTGCTAGCGTGAGTACCTTTCGCAGCTGGGATAATGTAGTCTTCGTCTTCACTTTCACCAAGAATCGGCATGCTGTTGATGGTGGCCTTCCCGGACCAATAAACGTCGGCAACAACGACGACGATGACAAGGAACTGGTCTATTCTACTGAAAGGGCATGGTGTCTCCGTTAGTAACGAATGAGGACGCGCTTGTTAGTTTCATATGAGTTTCCTGTATTGTATGATCGATGATCATTGATCTTTCCGCCTCCTATGCTTCGAGAAGTATAATTAGTAATGTAGAATCCGACTTTCTATCGACGGAGGAATCCCTCGCAGAACAGGGCCCCTCCCTTCGACAGGCGGAAGGCGCCTTCAAGGTCTCTGCATGGCAGGTTTGGGAGCGACTTTCCACGCACCTCTCCCTAGGAGCTGGAGCCCCCGATGAGCTCTCGGACTTGACCACGCCCCATTGATGACCGATCTCAGGCTGTCATATCGACTCGGAGAGACCGTTCGCGCACTCGGACTAGTCAACGGTATACATAGTTTCGGACACACGGCGTATTACATAAAGTCAAATATCCACATGCGAGCCTTTAGATGCAAATCGTGACAAAAAGCTGTACAATACACGGAAGCGCCATGCCTTGAGCAGAAGAATATCTCATGGCCACGGAGGGTTCCTCATTTATGATACGACACGTGACGACAGAAAGAGGGGGACGATTTGCCACCGGTCCCCTCAAGATACATCGGAAACCGTCAGAATAGCAAGCGCTCCTCAAGGGAGCCACCAACGACCTATGAAAAACCTCACTTAGAATAATCCGAGAGCCGGCCGGTGACCTTGAAGGCGAGCTGATTCCGAGCCAGTAGGAAGGGCGCTTGGAAGCTTACGAGGAGATTATCTGCATACGTCAAAGACGGAGGCATTTCGAACGCCTCTTGGAGGCGTTGGAGGAGCCTCGAGGCGGCATACTTCTCTGGGCCACATTCGAGACTTTCGAAGGCTCGAGCCCCCGGAATCGTGCGGCAAATACGCAATCACTCCGATCAGCTGATTCGGAAGACCGCATGTGCTGTAATCCTCGAATTTATCACGAACTTGAATTCACTCGAGGTCAACTCTGGTATCTAGCTATAGCTCCCCTCTGTATGTCCAAGATGGATGCAGTCGCAGGGTCGGAAACCGAGCCTACCAAGCAGCCGGTATTGGTGGCTGAGAAGTTCAGGCATCGATCGGTCCAAGAGTCGATGAATAGATCACGCTTGAATACCTGTATGATGTGATTCAGATGCATCAGACAGTGAACCCATAAATCATTCCCATTGTTTGAGGGGGAATATGGATAATTTCTTAGTCATGAAGTTCTCAGCTCCAATCATCGCTCAGGAATGGGAGAAATGGGCCGTCCAGAGCACACTCAGGCGGAAGGAGCGCCGCTTCCCGTTTCTCATCGGTTCATCGCAGACGCCTAAAGATCAGGCCAGGAGGTATCCGTGCGCGCGGGATTGCTCTATTGGACTTGGTTTCCCATTTCACTCGAGCTCCGTTCCGCGATCAGACTGTGCATTCTCGGACTTTCTCATACAGGGCATTTTCAGATGCTGAATTCTACGCTGGGTCAGAGGTCTGGGGCGAGGCCTTGAACCTCCGATGTCAGCACGATTTTTTCTCGAAGGGGAAGAGATTGGGAAGCCTCTTTCGTTCGGGAGTAACAGGGGCTCTTCTCCCATTGGCTCTTATAAGCAGGGAGTCGGTCCCCACCTTCAGGTCGAATATGGTAACGTGGACCGGAAGTCCGAGTTGAAGGTCGGGTGCGCCATCTTGGAGAGGGGGGGGGGCGAGTGCGTACTGCTTATTGATCTCGGTCATCTGAAACGTGACGGTTCACTCTCCGTCGAAAAATTGTTGTGCGAATTCTCCGCGTATGAGCGACACGGTATGTCCGAGGAAGCAGTGGGCGACATCATTGCCCTCGCTCAATAATTCAAGCCCTGAGAGAATACTGTGGCGTTGTCGCGTGGTATAGACACATCTAAGGAGGTCATGGGAAAAGAGGTCAGCTGAGAGACGGCTCAGGCCTGTCATGACAACACAAGAAGGCGGCTCTTTTCGGCTACCCTTCGGCTCGGGATTAGGAGCATATCGCACTGCTTTGTTTTACTCTGATTCATCCGTATTGAGCACAGAAAACTGAGGCGCGGCTTCCTTGTCCGTCGCAGACCTAGATTCGAATATGTTTTCGCGCAGTCGGTCCTCCCAAACTTCTTTCGAGAGAAAATTTCTCCTAACCTTCGGTTCAAGCGCAAGTCAATCGATAGCATTTCGCTCTCTCCCTCACGGGCGGACACATGGTCGCCTCCGCTCTCAGCACAAATTGTCTTCAACGAGTCACGGCGACGTCAGATGATGACTGCTTCGAGGGCACAAACTACGTTGCCGTCAGATCCGCACGGCCGATCGGTCGGCTGGGGAGCATATAAGGGGATGCGGTTTCAGGAGCCGCTCTTGAACATCCGAGTCATGGCATGCCTTCAGTGCGCAATCGAGAAAATCAAGTTGGTGGATCTTTCTGATCTCGCAACGATCTCCCGAAATCGTATGCGTGCTGTCAAGCGCAGCGTAAGGACCTCAAATGCGAATTGCGGAGCGGAGAGCAAATAAGTTTTTCGGCTGGAAAGTCTCAATGTGTGAGCTCGAGCTTCAATTGCCCCATAATCTTCGATCGTACCCCATTGGCTCGCAGGAGCATCAAGCACCCCAATCGGAAGATTCCTGAATACCTGAGGAAGTTGCAGAATGGAAATCATGCATTCCGTTGACTTCCCTCTCCAAACACGGAGTCATGAGGTTTGTACTCGATTCCCCCCTATCAAATCGGATCGAGGTCTGGAACTTTCATCTCCAGGTAGGCAGAATCAGACTCGCTTTCGTGATCGCCAGGAACTCCCCGCAGCTCAGAAGACCGCGCTAGTCCGTAGCATGGCTTCTTAATTCGATTGTAAACTTCGAAGAAGTGAGCTCCCAAATCGCGTGCTCGCGAAGACGGCCGCGAAGCATCATTCGTGTTAGAGATCGGGCCGAAGTACGGGTCTCCCGAGATCGGGCATAAAGTCTGTGTTTCACGCTCTGGTGAACCGTCCAGACGAGCCTCGAGCTAAGGATAAAATATTCGGCAGAAATCATAGAGATTCTCGCGTTCCGATTTCTCTTCTCACCCTCAGAGCAAGAACATGGAAGTCCCAACGACTCGACGTGGAGACTCGCCGCTAGATTCCTCTCGGAATGAGCCCGCGTCGCGAACCAAAACCAAGCGACACTGAACTTCTCGAACACCAACATTCGGCTGGATGTAAATTCATGCGGAGTCCAGCGGCTGCCCGAGCCGAGGAAGGCCGTCGGGAATGACTCATGCTTCCGACGCTCTTCCCGCTCAAATTGTAGCGTCGAATTCTCGGAAGACTTATTACGGATGCGAGGCTGTTCTGTAGAGAGCCCCAGCCATGCTCCAATTATCTTCCGAGCATTCGGTAACCGAGCCGTGGGAAGCTCAAGGATTAGAGCACTCCCCAAACGTACAGAACTCACCTAACTCGTCATGTATGTAGAATCGCAGATTCGTGAGATCGCTGAATGCTTCTTTTGGTTACCACGAATGCGCCCACGAGTGTTATAGGCGATGAACTGGAGGGAACAACGCTGGCTGTTCTGTTGTTAGTGTCAGACGGGGCCGCTGGCTGGCAGCCTGCCCATGAGCGAGCAGCGCACATCTTACTGTAGGTAGCAGCAGCAAGTCAGGCGAGAGAAGGGTAAGGGAGACGAAAGAAGGTTGCGGGTTTGTGGCAACCACAATGTGTATATAACCTTGAAAGAGTGGGTGGTTGTGGTCATACCACCGTGTATTGCCAGAGCCTAGAAGTCACTCGACAACGACCTGATCGTACGCGGTATTATGGAGTATTATTCGAAGATACTCTCAGCTGCCTTAGAGGGGAAAACATTTCGTGCTTTGGGCTCTTCCATTCACAGCGACCACGATTAGGAAATCGTTCGTGTCAGGAGACATATGAACGGCCTTTTTGTGCGGAGACGAGGACGGATATCTATGCCTTTTGGGTGCAAAACATAAAGAGTGTGTGCGTAGGTTATCTAAGGGGATCCGTGGCTCCTGCTGAGATGGAATTTTTTGACCGGGGACCTCAGACGGAGCCTCTAGATCGGCAGAAGTCGTTGGCAAGCTTTCTTTAATTCCGGTGATTTTTTCCGGCGCACAGCTCTTCGATCCTGAGGCTCTTCCGACCGAATTCTAACGTCCGAGACATCAAGTCGGTATCGGTCAATGCTTCCCCAGGGACTGATCCTTGTACTGGGAATATTCGATCAGATGAGGCTCGATAGCCTTTTCTTTCGCCGACATCCGCGATCGAATTTTCCTCTGGGGAGATTCGATGATTGTGGAAGGTGGGGGAAATCTCTTTGAGGGAAAAATTGATCTCAGGAGTTCTTTAGCGCATCCCTTCGTCGGTCTCGCATCCTGCAGGATAATGTCTATGCCACCCGAACACCTTCTTCGGCTTCCTGGCAATACCAGCGGGCGATGAGCAATAATCTGATCCTGGCTGAACGTCCTTCATACGTACTCTCCCTATGCCCCGTCGTCTGACACATGCGAATGCGGAGGAGTATACAACGGAAAGACGAATCGAAGCTAGCTAACTGATTCTCATATGCTCCATTACCCCCTCCTTGTCAGTATTCATCGTCATCGGCGGACCTCGATATCCGAGGGAGATCGTCTAGAGGCGATGGGTCGGGACGACATGCTCTAGGATCTTTCGATAGAGCTTATCTGAAGTGCTGATGCTGTTGCATCGGATGCACGGAGAGCTTCGCGTTGGCGCTACTTGGGTCTGTGATATGCGGCTCAATAATTATTCATCCTAATAGGATGGTTCCGAAAGTCACCGATTCTCTCTCGGATCATCGTCATGGTTAGATCGAACTGTTTGTGTTCATGGGGGGGAGCGGGATTCGTCATTGAATATCGATCGAAACCGAACGTATTTCCAGCGACTTTCGTGGTACAGCTTACATCATCCCTAGTCTCCAATGGAATTCTCCAGATATTTCTAAATAGAAGTCTCTAAGAGGATTAGTTCGCATATCAGTGCGTGGTGAACCTCTGACTGAGACACCTCGAGGTTTCTTCGAAGCAACCCATCGAATGCCCATGGGCTTCTCAAATTTTGAATATTCATGGCACTCTTGTCGAAGAACATCTCTTCCGAAACTTGATGAGCTGCTTGAGCAATGTCGGTCCCTACCCCAGGATGAATTCACTCCGAGGTCTTCAGCCTGTTCCTCGGTATAAAGCTTCACCACATCTACCTTACCCAACTAAACTTCCCCGTTCACCCTTGTCCATATGCTCCGGTTTTCCACTTCGCTCCCCTGATTTCGCGTGCGCCTTGCTTCCTCACTATCTCTCTTCCTCCGTTTCCCTATTCTCCGGTTCCCCCTGTCCTGCTTCCCTGTTCTCTCGCTTCCCTGTTTTCCCATTCTCCCGCTTTCCGGTTTTCCGATCTCATTCTGCTTGCACCCTGGCGATCTATAGCCTACTACGGCTGCAACAACATTCTTCGAGATTCATTGGTAGAGGACACCATCGCATGATCACGGCAACCCCCGGTGACCTTTCTGAGAGCCCCCGAGAATCCGTCCCCGGATTCCCATGGGGATCGATCCAGGCCCTGAGGAATCTTGGGAATTCCGGCTCTACCCATGTCTCGAAATATTTATTTTTCGGTGGGTGGAGCGATTGAACGATTCTCGGAAGGTAGAGGGACCCGTCGCATGAGAACGACGACCTCGTGTGACTTTCCGACAGCTCGATAGGATCCATCCTGAATTCCAAGGCGACCGGTTCAGCCGTTCAGCAGTCCATAGACTCTATTTAGTATGAAGAAGACACGACCGTCCGACAGACAGACAGACATAAGTTATATATACATCGTTATAGTAATATATTAACATTGTATAAAAGTTTGATATACTCAGATAAATGGTGGGAAGCGTGAAGAGGGCGGATGCGGTCAGCCTCCGCTCTCAGACTGACAACGTTCTCATTCGACAGACATCGAACTCAAGTCTACTTTCTGGCTCTAGAAGCAGCGAGGGTAAAGAGCAGGAGAAGAATAGCCCAGCCGATTGATATGACAAACCCGCTCCATACTTCGAATTTGTCTATGCCCCATCCGCGGTACATTATACAGCGGAGCGATTCGATGGGAATCGTTTGAGGCAGTCCGTAAGCGACTGCTCGAACCACACGTGGCATCGACTGGATCGGCCAAATTACACCTGCAATCGAATCGAAGTTTCTCCATTAGAATTGGTCGAAGCTCCATAAGGAGAGACTCTGAAGAACATATGTCACGGTCGGATAGCCAAGGAAGACCGTTGGATGAAACAGAGCCTCGTTGCGATACACAGGCGGATCGGGAGGAATATGAGAATACTTCACTACATACCGCTCATGAGGAGATTCGGGAAGAACGTGCCGACCGCCAACATCATCGCGGATTGTTCCTCAGCGCAAATGGATGAAATAAGAAGTCCGTAGATCATCCCAGTGGTGCCTTGCAAGAAGGTCAGGAGGACGACGAGTGTTAATGAGCCCTCGAGGGGAGTTTGGAAACCGATGAAAACGAGTGCGAATAGCAAAACTAATTGCACGCATACGATGCAGGACTGGGACACCACGAGAGAAACAATGACCTCGAGAGGCTTGACGCCAGCTGCCCAGCAGCGGTCCGTGGTACCTTCGCGATTTTCCATGATTATCGATATGGCGGTCAGCGGCACGGCCATGATGTACATGATCGCGAGAATAATCCCGGGCGTCATGAAAGTCCTAGCGGTAGCGTTTGATTTCCTGTCACCGTGGACGGGCTCCTTGATTTGAATCGGAAGTTGAGCCAAATTGACATTCTTGTCCATTTCTCTCAGGAGATCCTCACAGAATGTCTGAAACAAGGACAGCCGATATTAGGAGCGACGTTCGTGATGCGATGCGAATGGGCAATGGTCTTGCTGATGATTTGCATCTCGAGAGAAGCTCCAAGGAAGGCGCGCCGATGGGACTGCCACTTTGAGACTGATGAAAAGTCGTCGGGAGTAGCTAAATCTCATATCATATATCGGATGATGCTCACGCGGAAAGATTCGAGTATGGTCTTCTGAAGAATGAAGCCAATCTGCAGATTAGTCATGTCCATGTACACGTCGATCGTGGACGCTTCCAGGGTCTTGTTGTCGGCGTCGATTCCCGAAATAAATCGATACTTCAGCTCCCTCGAATAGTCTTGCCGTATATGTATGGAGCCCCAAGTTTCCCCACGCGCCACACTGGCGAGCGCGAGGTCAAGGTTCGAGTAGAGTCGCTGAACAATAGTGTGCCGAGGAAGGGTCTTCAGGAATGCATTCGAATGAACTGGATTCCGGTCTGAGTTGACAACAGCCACAGGCAGCTCGTATGGGTCGGCCCCGATACAGAGGCAGAATAAGAGTGTGACGAAGGACGGTATAAGGAAAGTGAAGAGGAGGTAGGGCTTACTACTCCTCAATCGGATAATGTTTTTCCTCACGAGAGCAACTATCCGCTCTCGTGATGAAGCTTCCCAGAGTGCTTCGCGGTGTCGCTTCACCGCCTCGAAAGCGGTCTGTGCCTCTCCCGGGGGCGAATCGAGCGCCATTTCTGGGGTAGTCCCGTGAGTTCCGACCTGAATCAATTTGAAAAATTTAATAGATAAAGACAAGAGCTTGAAAATATTTGAGCTTAGCGCTCTCCGGAGGAAACCATGCTCCTATCAGCAAAGCGTTGAAAGCCTGAATATACGCCGAGGAGGGTATGGATCGCTCACTTCTTCTTGGACTTCCATGGATGCAACGGTGTCATCGTCGTTTTTCTCGCCAATCACCTCGGGCATCTCTCGGGGGTCTGTGATTGCACGCTCCTCCTTATCCGCGAGGCACAATTGCAGGAATACGTCTTCGAGGGTTTCGCAATGGAAATCCTCCAGGAGTCGCTCAGGAGAATCTTCGGCTAGCATTCGACCGGACCTCATGAGACCAACGACGTCCGCCTGACGGGCTTCTTCGACGTAATGAGTTGTAACGATAACGGTCATCCCTCGATCGCGGGTGAGCGTCACGAGATACTTCCAAATCCTGAAATGGGTACGTCCTCTGAATATTGCTGCAGACATCATCCCATTCGTTTTCCATTCACTATTCTCTAGTCGGTCGTTCCCGGAACTCATCACGTATCCTCCGGGGAAAGGGATTCCGCCGTTCTGGGCTTGAGTCGGGAGCACCCACTTATCCGAGAGGAATGCGGAGGCGCATTTGTCGCAATGCCGAGAGAGAGGCGCGAGGAGGATCGAGTGTCTCCTCGAGTGATCGCGGGAAGCATTCAGAGAAAGCTCCATTTTGTGGAAAGACCTATGTTTCACTTCGTCCAGCCTGTGAAAACTCACGCTTGACGGAGCAGCGGGTCCACGCCGACCGTTGGTTCGTCGAGAATCAAGAGTGGGGGCTCATGGATCAGAGCGACTGCAAGTGAAACTCGTCTCTGTTGACCCCCAGAGAGTTTTCCGACCTTCTTCTTGATTTTGGGGAGATCCAGGAAGTCGAGGAGGAACTGGATACGCTCTGCGAGGAAAATAGATCGCGGTCAAACCCTGCATAATCTTCGCCGGATTCTGTGCAAGGATCTCTTTGCTCTCACGGGAGTTCGCTGTCGAACAGGTCAAATGCAGTCGGGTAACCTGACGACCAGATATAGAGTCCCCCGGGCTCGATCGTACAATCACACTTCAATGTGCAGCGGTCAGGTATCGCCGCCGGAAACGGATCTCGGAAGCAACTCGTCGCAGACCAATCTAGGCAGGAGACCTGCGCTTCGGTGAGGATTTCCGCCGGGGTCAAACCCTCGCGAGGACGGCGTCACTTCTTGCACGTTTTCGATTCTGGCTGGATCAGTCAGCCCGCTCGAGATCATTGCCTTATGCATGCTCATGTGTCCTTGAGAAACTACGCCGATTTCCCCTTCAGAAATTGTGTCATCAGACAGACAGACAGACAGACAGACAGACAGACAGACAGACAGACAGACAGACAGACAGACAGACAGACAGACAGAAGACATAAATATTTCTGCGTTTAGGAAGTGCGACGATTGAGATGAGACTCCTTCCAGCACACTCACTCTGTATGAGCTCTTCGGGCATTCCAATGAGCTGCCCAAAGTGATGTAGATTTCCGTGGATCGTCTCTTCACGGTATAGAGCAGACTCCTGTGGCATGTAGCCAACTCCTGGACCCGGGATCAATGCTCCTGGTGTCGCGGGTACCTCATCGAATACCCGAACCATGCCTGCATGGGGTGTCTTCCGGCCAACGATACACTTCAGCAGAGTCGTTTTCCCACAGCCGCTTGGTCCGAGGAGCCCGTAGCTATAATGAGGAAGATACTTTTGTGTACTTCCTCCGGCTCTACAAGACGTCAGATCGCTTCTGGGCAGGCACATGATCCGAAGAGGATGATGGCGTCGATATCGATGTGGAGCGACCGTCTCTTCTCGCTGTCCCGCTTAAATCGCCAACATGACTGGCCTCCTACCGAGGCAGATGAGACATGATGATTCCATAGGAATATTTCGCAGAAAGTATTCAATGGAATCAGAGAATGATAAAGTGGTGAATAATTACATTTTCCCTGCAGGCACTGAGAGATTGATTCCTTTCAGAACCTCCATCTCCTGATTGCCGTATTCGTAAGTGAATCGGACACGATTTACTTCCACAGCCAGCTTCTGTGCGGGGTCAATTGGGTCAGGATCTGGGCTGAGCTCGACCGGGTAGGATGTGCCGCCTTCCTGACTGGAGGCGTTGCTCGGCTCATCGAATGCCACATTTACGTGACCAACGCGAGCTTCACAGCTCCCATGGCTGATGCTGAATAGCGGAGCCTCCGGAGCGAGAACGGCATCGCTCATCCCGTGGCAACTGAGAAACTGTAAGAAAAAAACAGGCTCCTCAATACAAGGCTCCAAATCCGCATGCATCTCCGGGGCACGGGGGGAGCTTAGAGTAGATCGAGACCCCTCGGAAGCCTCGGCTCAGATTACCTAGATGGAGAACGATCATTCTGAAGGCTGCTCCTCGCCATCCTTTCGGTTGCCGTCAAGTCCGGAAACAGAGAAGAGTCCCTCCATGCTCCACTGAAACGGACCCTTTCAGTCTGGCCGATCTGATTCAAAACCCCCCTTAGATATTCATTCCTCTGTAGCGTGTCCTTCGAGCTCAATCAGTTCCGGGATTTACCAGGGAAAACGCGGGACGACGAGCGCACATCCGTAAAAATACGGAAGTCTCTTCTTAACACCCCCGTCATGATGATGGCATGGCCTGATTCACCCCCCCCACTGAGCACCTCGTTTGCGCGTCGACAAAAAGGAATAGAGACGAAGCTAAGCTCAAGGAATCGTGCATGAGAGTACGGCCCCGGGCCGGCTTGGAACGCGCAGAAGCCGTCCAAGGACTGATCGCTCGCTAGTTTGCGAGTGGCGATGGGATCCTCCGCGGAACCGCGCCCCACACGCCCATCAAACGGCTCTCGGAGAATCGCGCTCGTTAGCGGAGCAATCTCTTTCAGAAAGCGTCGAGATCGAGGAGCCGCACGACTTTTCAGCGCCGGAGCTTGATTGATCGCTCATCTGCCAGATGGGCTGCGCATTGTGGTGCGCTCAAAAAGCCCGGACCCTCCAAGAATATGAACGGGCAAGTCCAAACACCGGAATCGATCTCGATGATCGGTCGGGTCTATTTGGATCCTAAATCAAACCCCGCTTAGCGCACTCTGGACAGACGGTCTATCACAATATTTTAGCTCCGCTACTGATATCATATCATGAATAATAATCGGGTTCGCGTACTCCACAGTTTTTGCATGATGGGCGTAGCCTGCATAACTGCTCTTATTCGGGACCACTACACACTAGGGACGTGATGACTGAATCTCGCTGGCCGAAGAAGTGCGGCGTCCCCGGGGTTCTCCCTCTTCCGCGGAGGGTGCTCGGGCTGCTACCGCTTTTTTTCCTCTCGGGATCCCCTCATGATCCCGCCGCGTGATTTCGTCGCGATCTCTGCGAGCTTCGTTTCCAGTCCGTTCGAGCTGGTCGTTCTTGGGCGAAGATCCAGAATGAGTTTGTAGCTCTTTGATACTTGCGCCAAGCGGAAACTCGCCCGGGGGAAGTCGGAACGACTATCCTCTCAGTCTCCGACCGCTCTCTGGAAGAGCTCGTTTTGCGGTGACAGGAGGACCAGTGAGATCCGTGGGTGGGGACTCGCTCTTTGTGGACGAGAGATCACAGTGAATTCCTTTTCAAACTGCGAGACTGAATCCTCCAAACTCTATCGAAAGAACTCGCACCGTTGATAATTGTGTATTTACCTGCGGTTTCGAGTCACTTTCGACTCCGGCCTCGAGATCTGCGCTTCCGCGGAGAACACTTGTACCGTTGAGTATATCGAACGTCGTCGACATTCTTAGGCAGAGAACACGACTGACGATCGCGACTCTTCAGCACAGGGAATCCTCTGAATTAGGACCCTGCTTGCTCAAACAGATCGCGCTTTTTCTCTACTTCTCTCCGCCGGTCGAGAGAGGGTTAGCGTCGTTGTGGATGTCTCGAGGGTCGGGACTCTGGCTAACGTTTCCGTGAATCTCGTTCATGAAGCAATGCCGGGATAGAGGCGCGAGGAGGATCGAGTGTCTCCTCGAGTGATTGCGGGAAGCATTCAGAGGGAGCTCCATTTTGTGGAAAAATCTGATGGAATCAGAGAATGATAAACAAGGTGATTTGAAATTACATTTTTCCTGCGGCCACTGAGAGATCGATTCCTTTCAGAACTCCCGTCTCCTGATTGCCGTACTCGTAAGTGAATCGGACACGATTTACTTCCACAGCCAGCTTCTGTGCGGGGTCAATGGAGTCAGGATCTGGGCTGAGCTTGACCGGGGAGGATGTGCCGCCTTCCTGACTGGAGGCATTGCTCGGCTCGTCGAATGCCACATTTACGTGACCCACGCGAGCTTCACAGCTCCCATGGCTGATGCTGAATGGCGGAGCCTCCAAAGCGAGAACGGCATCGCTCATCCCGTGGCAACTGAGAAACTGTAAGAAAAAGACAGGCTCCTCAATACAGAATTCAAATCCGCATGCATCTCTGGGGCACGGAGGAAGCTTAGAGTAGACCTAGACCCCTCGGAAGCCTCGGCTCAGATTCCCTAGATGGAGAACGATCGAATGCTTATTCTGAAGGCTGCTCCTCGCCATCCTTTCGGTTGCCGTCAAGTCTGGAGGCAGAAAAGAGTCCCTTTCAGTCCGGCCGATCTGATTCCAAACCCCCCTGAGATATTTATTCTTCTGTAGCGTGTTCTCCGAGCTCAATCACATTCGGGATTCATTCGGGGAAACGCGGAAGGAAGAGCGCGCAAGGCCACACAAACCCTTCTCAAGCAGTTTGAGGGAGTCCAGCTCTCGCACAGCTCCGTATCATTCCGACCTTATATAGAGCTGGTGAAGATGCGTCCACTATCCGAAGGTGACCGCTGTACCGGGGTCGGACCTCGCCTAGCTGCGGCGAGATCGCTCGAGAATGCTTAAGGCTCCAGCACTCTGTAGCGGACCGCAAATATTTTCTCAACACTGAGATACCGTTTGTACATCCGTGAAAATACGGAAAGTCTCTTCCTAACACCTCGGTCATGATGATGGCATGGCCTGCTACAGCCCCCCCCCCCCCACTGAGCACCTTGTTTGCGCTTCGACGAAAAGGAATAGAGACAAGGAATCGTGCATGAGAGTACGGCCCCGGGCCAGCTTGACACGCTCAAAAGCCGCCCAAGGACTCATCGCTCGCGAGTTTCCGGGTAGCGATGGAATCCTTCTCGGAAGCGCGACCCGCACGCCCGTCAAACGGCTCTCGGAGAATCGCGCTCGTTAGCGGACCAATCTCCTTCAGCATCAGTTTCGAGATCGAGGAGCCGCATGTAGACTTTTCAGCGCCGGAGCTTGATTGATTGCTCATCTGCCAGATGGGCTGCACAAGAGGGCGGGGTCAGACCCTCGCGAGGACGGCGTCAATTCTTTGAGCGGAACGCACGTAGAATCTGACTCTATTACGACTTACTCTGTTTAGTCTCTCTGCGACTCGGCTGAGAAAACTCTTGACAAGGAAGCCTCGCAGTTTCCTAACCTGTCCCTCATCAAGATCGCGATGGATGTTCGCCACGGCTTCCGAACACAGATCTGCATCGAACCTGTGCTCAAGGGTTGAAGCCGAAAGTTCGCGGTTGGAAAAATTTGAAGTCACCGATAGCGATGCCATATCGATTATGCAGCTCGCGGAGCAAAGAAATGTGTCGACTTCACGCACTTCTAGACTGACCTGTCCGATGTCAGACTCGTGGAGGTATGCACATTCGCATGTTCGCAAGCCGGCTGTAGACTTGGCTGAGCTTGAGATCTTCCAGCGGGATAAATAGCATTGTCTACATCGAATTTTCGGTTTGAGATAGACGACCGTCGGAGCGGACGCAAGAACAGCGCGGGAAGGAAAAAAAATATTATGGTCCTTTTTCTGCGTGGCTCAAAGCATCTGTCGCAGGAAAAATGAATGTCTCAGGTCACTATATTTGTCGTCGAAGATCTTGAGACAAGTTTCGGCGCTATCTGCGATTTTTGCCGCGACGCACCCACTGTGCGTGGCAGATCGGGGCTCGCTGGAGTATGACTCGTGTTCAAACATAAGCCGAGAGCTCTCCGCATCTGTCTGGCTTCATATGATATCAGCGGCATCGCGAGGAGAGGCAGAGAGGCACTTCCGCTGTCGATCTTCGGGCGGCAGTTTTCGACTCTCGCGTTCGAGAAAGCAGAGAAATCTCCGCCAAGCTGGTGCCGTTTCATGAATTAGGGGCGCCATTCCTGGCGATGAGGTGTGAAAAAATGTGAGATCCTCGGGGGAAAGTCAAAGGAAGAACTCGATCAGAGGCGGCCCTCCCGGCATCCGCATCGGGTGCCGTTTCGCTTTATGCCGAACCGCCGATCAGCACAGACTCCGACTCTTGCCACATGAGGCTCGCGTTCTCGACGCTTCCGGAGGATGCGGAGCTCACCGATCCAACTTGCATTCTAGAATTTGCTTTTCTATTGGATCGGACTCCTGGAGATTGCCGGAATGATCTCGAAGTATATGAATGGCGACAGTAGAATAGGACCAATATAGGTACTGGAGGATTACCTCGGAGAGGTTCAAATCTCTGAGGAATCTTTGAAGCTCCAAGCTAACGCAAATCACATTTCTTCCTCGAACTCAGGATTCAATGTCGCCTGTTGGGAGATAGTATACATATGTTCCCTCCGGTATGAGCGGCTGAGTCACATGATGTATGTGGACAGAGCCGGAGTAAGCCGAAATTCGCTCTCATTACATCATTCATTGATTGTCACAAAACATCGACGAGTGATGTGGAGAGAGACACGAAGAAGCCCGTTCTTTATCTTCGAAGTTTATTTCTCCGAATCCATCCATCGGAGGGTCCCAACAAGGCCTTCCGACGGATCCAGATCCGCGGATCTGGTATGCGGGATTTTTCAGATTCTCGCGGCTCCAAACGACTGGATTTGCCAAATATTCACATAGACGTGTTCGTCGATATACATTGGCATATGAGATTGTCTGCAATATCATCTCCGCAGCTGGTTGACACCCCTATTCGCGGATCTTGAGGAAAACTGCGGATCTTTGGAAGGCCTAGTCGCAAGTTTCAGCTTTCAGGGCCTTATCTCCGGAGCCTCATAGTGAGGCACGCCAACACATTTGAGCAGCTGCACATTTCTTCCAAGATCGACTCTGGATTCCATGGTTTCAATGATGGGGAACGTGTGAGCGAGAGCACGATGAGGCGTCAGTGCATAGAGCTATAACGACT